TTCGGAATTTGATACTCGAAAAAAAAAAATGTTGATTTGCTTGTTCATAAAAATAAAATCATGCATGCATACATTAGACTATGAATAGTGAAAATCATAGGTGGCAGAACGTTTCGATTCTAGGATAGGCTGAATATTTTTTTAAAATTCGCAACTTTCTTCAAAAAAAAAAACGTGCATTTGAAGAAACATGTGAACATTTATATTTATCGAAATGCGATTCTCGAAAGAAGAAATTCTGATCTGTTTTATTCGAAAAAATGTTTAATGACGAAGCAGAAATGTTTTATAGAACAAGATGTTGTATTGTGAGCTTCTTCTCTATTAAAAATGTTTGATAGGTATGCGCAAACTTCGTTACCGAAAGCAAAGAAAAATTTGGCATATTTCAGTTAATATGGCTCAGATTTTTCGTACAGTTCTTCTTCACTTGTAATTTATGCCTTCATCGTCTATTCGTATTGAACATGAATTGATGGTAGATAAAATCTGAATTGACCTTGTAATAACGAGTCATTTGTTAGAAGAAAATGAATATTAAACAGTAACAGAAAATTTTTATAATAATTCGAGTTTATCTAAGCCTTTATCTATCCAATATAAGGTGAACTAGAGCCTATACAGGCTTCGTGATTCCGCCATCTATGGTGAAAATAAATACTCTGTCTACTTAAAAAATAATAAGTATATATTGTGTTCTCTGAATAGAAATAAAAATTAGAATTTATTTTTAAATAAAAGAAACTTATTTCGTAGTTTTTCATCTGATTAAAAACGAAATTTGCCTGTGACATATATACATATTTAAATGCAAACTTCCGCTAATTACTCAGTTAATTTTCAAGATAATTGAATGACTTTTGTATCATTCGATACAGCAGATATTTATCTACTCAACAATACAAAAAAAACCTATAAATTTATTTAAAATTGTTTGAAAAAAAGGAAAATTTGCGCATCTACGAAAAAAAACTGTTTGAATTAGGAATGTTGTCGGTAGGCATTCCTCTTCGATTATGACATTAGTAATCGAGAAGGATTGTAAGTCTTCTTTTTACCCACATTCTATCCAAGATGGAATAATAAGAGCAAAAGTTATACAGGAAAAAATCTCGTATTGGAAAGCGCAGCCAATGGTTGAACGGTTTGGTTTTGTGAGCATATATTACTTACATTTTGCAAAATATTGTTTTATACCGACGATAACGCGAGTGACCATTCAAAGGTAGAACTGAACCGAAGTACTGCTACTAGTGTCTCTGATAAGATGGTCTAGCATACTTTCATACAGACCTAGTAAGAATCAGTAAATCACCGATACAACTTCGGACATTTATTCATGTTTTTCTTCTATTGTAATTATAAATATTAGCAAATTTAGATTGAAACAGAGGATTAAAGTCACTAAAGAATGTCAAAGCCTTGTTACTGCGATGTTGCACAACTTTCCACATTTGCTTAGCAGCTAACCTTCACTGCTTGGTTCTCTTAGAGTCTCGATTTTTTTTATTCTACTTTCTGTTCATACACAGAACCAGTCTGATGTTTTCGTGTCGTTGGTATCTGCGTGTAGGTCTCGGTTTGTGAGTGTTAGCGCTTATCTTGTCTTCTCCTACACTCACACACACACACCTATAACCAAAACTATACCCACACCAACTGCAAATCCTACACTAAAACCTTCGAATAGAAATAAACTTCGCAGTTTTGATAAGTAATTGGTTTCGATAGAATATTTTCGTATATGTTTGAGTAACGAATATCATTTAAGTAAGTTTCTGTTTAACATCAAACATGTATGATCGGAAGTTCCATTTCATTTGTTGATACTATCATTTCAACAGCAATAAAAAATTGAATAATGTCATATGTTTGCTCTCAAAGAATAGTATTTTCTTTTGAATTCAATATTGATGACCTTGACATCGATTGTTAAAGGAGACTGTTAATAACATACACTCTTCTTCTTCAAGACAAATCATTGTCTGTATATATTTTGAAAAAAAATGCATAAGAATCACACCAACAAAAAAATAATAAAACAAAAAATATATATCCTCATTTTCCAACGCATCCTCCTCTCATGTATCACATGCCAACGGTGCTCTCCTACTCAGAGAGTGACTCATGTGAAGAGAAGCCGGAAAAGAGAGGGAGAAAAGAACAAGAAAAAAGAAAAAAAAAGAAGCAAAGAATGCAACGAAGAGTGTTTAGAAGCTCATCTAGAACATGTATCATGGCCATCGACCATGACAGAGACGTAGTTACATTACTGATGACAACAAACTCATTGGCTGCTTACAGTCAAACGCTTATAAAGAATATATTGATTTATATTCAAAATTTCGGCTTTCTTCATGCTGAATTGCAATCAGATTTGAATATGAAGAACATTTTTTACAAGTACGGATCTGTTCTATCTCTGTGATTCCTGATCGTAATTCATATCGAGAATGATCTACTCAAAGTACAGTATTATCCCAATGTACTCTTTTTTATAATACGACCTTACTATTTCTTTATCCACAGAAATGTAGACGTTTGCAGATATTATCTGAAATTATGATAAAATGTCAAGAAAATATTTTCAAACTACTCCATTTCAATGGTTTAGTATGCTTACATATTGGATGCTAATTGTGTTATTTAAGGCTTTGATTTCTATCCTTGTTTTACACAAAAAAATGAATATCGTTTTGAAACTGTTCGAATTAGTACATTTACCTTTTACCTTTACTATTTTCGCAATATTTGTACTTTCAACAAAAACGACGTACTTTTTTTTATTACAAAAATATTTTTCTATCAGTGACATTTCTTTTATGCTCTATCATTATAAGATAGATTGTTCTTGAATTCAAGTGAGGTTGATAAAATTCCAGAAACATTGTAATAGTTTTATATGAAGACTTCCTTTACTTCAAAACTAGTAGAAGTAAATAATTTGAAAACAAAAATAAAAAAAGAATCATACATATGCATTTCTTTCTTTACATGTTTTTGTATTTTGATTGTATGGGCACATTGATTGTTTTCGATCAACAATAAACATCAAAAAAATATAGTCATGAGGATTAACCAAAAAAATGAAAAAAAAAATCAAATGTTTAATACTGTTAAGCATTTGACGCAAACATAAGAGGTAAGACCTTGAAATTATTCATGATGAATAGAAGTTGTTTTTAATACGAAAATATTGATGATTATGATTCGAAAGATATGCATCAAAGTCCAATATTATCAAAACAAATGTTTTTATCGTTATTTTCTTTCCGACTGCCCTTCTTACATACAACGTCACAGTTTTCTTCGACACCATCAGATATTATTGTCTTTTACGTAGGCTTTTTTTATGTCATGATCAACCGATCTACATTTTGATTTTTGTTTTTTTCTTCTATTCTGTTTGTTGTACTTGTATTTATATGTCTTACTATAAAACATACTCATGATACTTTTTGCCGATCATTGTTCCTCATCAGTTATTCATGTTTTTATAATCGTACTGACCTATTAATTTCGTTGTATTTTCATCTCATTTTGGGTCAATCCATTATCGTCATTTTTGAAAAATCTCTCAACTGTTCATTTCACAAGACCTTGTTCTATTTTTCGTGCAGAAAAATTTTAGAATTCAATATACATTCATTGAACGAAAATATAGGCCATTATGTTATATTGTTCGGTATATTTCTTCTAATAGTATCTTCTTTGACTGATGGACATCTACATCTACCAAAAATATCCTCGCCATCTGTGTTGTATGTTTGGTCCGGTCAGGATATTTCTGTACCGAATGCTTCTGATTTCATTGCTGTAATCGACTTTAATGAAAGGTCTCCTACCTATGGACATATTCTGAAAACAGTTTCGCTTGTTTCGGATACTGCCAACGGCATTGGACAAGTAGGAAATGAGCCACATCATTCAGCTATTTCTGCTGATGGTCGTTATTATATAACTGGTGGTCTTCTCAGTTTTCTTTCGAAAAAAAAAGAAATATTCGTCTGGGAAATTCCCAAAAATCGTGCACAAGGTCCGAAATTTCTATATGCACTTGATGTACCAGGTGCGTGTACGGACGAATTCGTGACGATCGGTGGTCCTGAATTTCTTGTGAGCATGATGTGTAATGAACAGGCTGTCAGTCCAGGCAATATAGTGCATATCAATGCGAAGACTCGCGTGGCAAAATCAATCCTCAAAAATATTTCGGCTTTCACTGATTTTAATCCACACGGATTTGGTCGACTTGCCAACGGTTCCATCTTCGTCGGAGACTATATTGAACCGATTACATTAACTGGCAGTAATCTATCACAGATTCTATTTCGAAATACGGCTCGGCATATTCTTCCTGATGGAACGTTAGAACGTACTTTTCAATTCCAATTTCCTACGACGCCTGGATCGTCAACTGGAATCGGACACGGAATTGGATTTATGGAACTTAAACCTATACCTGGTGATCCATTTGGACGTTCTTTTGCCTGTGGTACTAGTGTGAATAATATATATTTAATCGGTCCAAGTATGCCTCAGAGTTGGAACCGGTCCGGCAATCCGGCTCCGGTCCGGCCGGACCGGACAAGACCGGACGAAAATTTAATCCGGCCCGGACGAAACCGGATTTTTGCCAGTTCATGATATTGAAATTGATACTTGTATTTCAAAGTTTTCTCCGACGAAAACAACTTTTATTTGTTTTTTTTTGCGTTGAAATATTACGTCAGCGATTGTTAGAAATTCCAGATGAAAAGAGAACATATGACGAAAATATTCGTACAAATTCATGTACATACATAGCTTTGATTGTATTTAGTACTAGCCGCTTTTGATCGTAATTAGATCGTAATATCAATGAGACAAAGATTAATCGGATGGAAGAAAAAGGAAAGAAAAATACACATTCATTTTTTCTTTTCTTTTGATTATCAAGAAGCACCATTTTTGTGACTTTATTTAATATTTTACGTTACAAGGTTATATTATTAATTTCAATGATTAATCCGGACAATCTTCAAGCTGGTCAAATTCAACGAAAACTACAGTCGAAAAATTTTATTTTGATCAAAAATGAAAAAAATAATCACGGGCTTTGGAACGACGATATCTCGTTAGTCGGTCAAATTAATGCTGAAGGTGCTCAAGAAATATTCGACGGTTGGGTTGCGTGTAACCACTGCTTTACAGCTTATCGGACTCATTCAAAAACGACTACTGAACAAAATCGTAAAAATTATGGTCTCAGACCGTTTCATGATCACCTCAAAGAATGTAAAGCAAAACAGAACAAAGTTGTCAATAACATTCAATCATCAGTTTCAACCGCTTCTTCTTCGAAAACAAGTACTCAGCCGTCGATTAGCCAATTCGCCTACAACAAAAACCAATTGAACGAAAATCTGGCAGCTAAACTTAAAGATGCAGAACTTAAATTCGTCGTTGCCGGTTCACATTCATTCAATACTTTAGAAAATGGTGGTTTACTCGATCTTCTTCAAGTAGGTATCGAAATTGGTGCTAAAAATGGATTGATTAATATCAAAGACATTTTTTATGGTCGTAAAACTATTCGTCAAGAAGCAATTAATAAATTTGAATTATTTGTGTCATCAATTCGTTCTCTTCTCGATGAACCCGTCAAACGACATTGCGTAGCAGCAACTTCCGATCTGTGGACAGACGACATGGTCAAACGTACATATCTTGACTTTACGGTGTTCTGGACCGATGATAACTATGGACTTCACCATTGTCTGCTCCGTTGCAAACATTTTGCTAATGAAACGAAGACGACAATTAACATTTGGAGCGAAATTGAACAGATATTTAAAGGTTTTGATCTCTCTTTCGGCGACACACCTATTGTAACTGATCAGGGTGCTAATATGGTCGCCGCTTTCAAATTAACCGATGAAGCACGATTTCCATGTATGGCCCACCGGTGCAACACAACAATCGAAACCGCTTGGAATCGACTTGATACAAAAAATACACAATTTTCCACATTTAATACAGCTATCAAAGATATCCGTAAATATGTTCAGCAATCTGGTGGTATCCAAGAAAATTTGGAAAAGACAATTAAGAATACTAGTGTTACACGTCCATGGCGCTCCTACTTCAATGTTCATGACTCTTTACATACTTCTTACGAACAACTATTGACTATCCTTCGACATCGTAATGAACAACATCGTCTTTATCAAATTGATCCAGTCCTTCTGGGTGCTATTGCTGATCTTATGAAATCGTTTTCGTTAATTTTCGACTCACTCGAATTTGCTAATGTACCAACATTTCAGAACGTCGTTCCAAGTTATTATATGATAAAAAATTATGTACAACCAAACAAAAATGATCTATTTATCATTGCGGAACTCAAAGTTGAATTATTAAACAGTTTGGAAGAGAAATATGCACCATCAATCACCGAACTTCATTGGATCGCTTCTTTCCTTGATCCATCGTTCAAAAATTTCTCGTTTATCGACGATCTCGAATATTTGGATAAAAAGAAAAAGACCGTACACAAAGGTATTCATATTTTAGCCACAGATTTATTCGATCAATCAAATTCGACATTTAGTTCTATTACTCAAGATACTTCAACATCGGCTGATACACCATCATCGAAGCGATTCAAACAAGATCCTTTTGCTGACTTTCGTCAAAAAACCGCATCGCCTTCTTCTGCTGTCTTTCCAACAAAACGTGCATGGACAGTCGAACTTGATCGTCAAATACAAATTTACGAAAACTTTCAACTTGATTCTGATTACAACAACAATCCGCTTTCATTCTGGAAAAATCAAAAGGATGCTATTAACATGCTTGCCAATATTGCCAAGTCACTCTTTGTTATTCCTGCATCATCGGCCGAAAGTGAACGTCACTTCTCCATCGCAGGACAGATCGTAACAGAACAACGTAGTTTACTTGATCCAGATACAATTGAAGCTCTGGTCGTTCTCAAAGAAGCATATATCAACAACATGTGGCCTGCGTCTGTTACTAGTTCGAAAAAAATTGTTACTTTGGATTAAAAATCAATCCATATACTTAGAGGTGTAAGCCGTGCGGCTGAGCCGCCGTCGCCGCCGATAAACTCGAAAAATTTTAAGCCGCCGCCGCCGTGACAGTAGAAATTTTTAAGCCGTCGCCGCTGAGGCACTTTAATTACAGCCGCCGCGCCGCCGATAGTATTCGAAATTTTAAAATTATCGAGCCGCCGCCGCCGGCAACTATTGTAAATATCGATAACATTTCATTTATATTTTCCTTAATTCGATACTTTTACATCTTAGAACCCCAATATATCTCTTTTTCATTAACTTTCTCGCCTTCACCTTCACTTTCATGCTGGTTCTCTGACCAATCAGATGCTTGGGGTTCTAAATTGTGAATGAACCCTTAATTCTGTGTTGGTTGAAAATTCTAAGTTATCATTTTAGTTTATGTCTCTTATATTAGATATATTTAGAAATACAAGAAGAGACAAGCATTTTAAATTTTAATTAACAAAAACAAAATAAAAACAACAAACTTGAGTATGCTAAGTGCTTTTACTTATTAACAATCGTGGTGATGATTTCTCATTTATTATTTATCCTGGCAATTATATTTATTATTAATTATAGACTTTTTTTATTATGTCTAGATGTGAAATAAAGTTTTTCCACATATGTGTTTGAAAATAAAAAGGCCAAGATATTGAAATAGGCCTTGTCTACACTAAAAATTTTGACGCTGAATTAAGAAACATGATTGGTTGAACAGTTAGTAAATTCTCTTTCTCGTAGAGAAGAGTCCAGTAAACATAAATTGTCTGATTGCTTGCTTGCTTGTCTGTCCGCAGGGTCAAAAGAACATAAGGGTTCACCAAAGGATAATCAGAGGTTATTTTTGGTCGGGATTTCGACTAATAAGGTTTTCTGACATTGCGGTTTCAACCAATAGGATTTCAGGGAGGGGGGGGGGGAAGACAATTCAACCAATCAGATTTTTTTGGTCCGTAACTCGATCCAGGAAGGTTATTTTTGGTCGGGATTTCGACTAATAAGGTTTTTTGACACTGCGGTTTCAACCAATAGGATTTCAGGGGAGGGGGAGGCAATTCAACCAATCAGACTTTTTTGGCCCGTAACTCGATCTAGGAAGGTTATTTTGTTATAAAAAAAAGTTGGCCACAGATATTCGAGGTAAAAGCCAAAATCTATCACCGATGATGAGATTTAGGTGGCAAGAGTAGTGGATAATAAAATTTACTAATCTCATCATAGTGTTGGAAAAAAATCAACCCAACTTTCTGCTCAGAATGCTAAGCTAGGGGTGGGAAGTTACCGTTACCCGGGAGTTACGTTACCGGGTAACTAGTAACTCAAAAGTTACTAGTTACCGAGTAACTAGTAACGGCGGAGTTACCAGTTACCAGGTAACTAGTAACTTCGAAGTTACTAGTTACTTTTGGTAGGTAACTTGTCTAAAAAGTCGAGATATCGCTTTCTAATGACTGAATATCATCTATTCATCACTCAATTAAATTACGAGTTACTTGGTAACTAGTAACTCCTATGTGCGTTACTAGTTACTCGGTAACTCGTGAGCTGAATAAGTACTGTAATGATGGTATTCACTCATTAGGAAGCGATATCTCGACTTTTTAGACAAGTTACCTACCAAAAGTAACTAGTAACTCCGAAGTTACTTGTTACCTGGTAACTGGTAACTCCGACGTTACTAGTTACTCGGTAACTAGTAACTTGCGAGTTACTAGTTACTTGGTAACGTAACGGTAACTTCCCACCCCTATGCTAAACTCAAACGTGTAGATAGACGCAGTTGGGCAGAATAATGCTGTGTGAATGTGCTGGTTTTGAATCGTGGAACTTCGTAAATTAGCAATTTGTTAACAGTTTAGAAACAGCACTTCAACGAGAAAGAGCTAAGCGAGTCTACAGACGAGCGTTACTTGTATTTAAAACACTTTTAAAAAGTGCATTAAATTTATTGCACATTTCAGAACAACATTAAATTTGATGCACCAATCAATGTCTGATTCGATTTTCTAATGAGACTGACACAGTTTTCAATGGAGGAGTCCTCTATGATTGAAGTGAACAAAAATCACGATTCATTTCGATGTCTAGGATTCTGATTGATGCATTAACTGTCAAATGTAGACACGAATTGATGTAACACGAATTTGATACTACATTATATTCCTAGTGCAGACAAGGCCATAGACTAATATTTTTATGATAATGTAATACTTTTTAAACTTCAAGCCGCCGCCGCTGAGACACTTTAATTACAGCCGCCGCGCCGCCGATGGTATTCGAAATTTTAAAATTTTCGAGCCGCCGCCGCTGTGCAACCTTAGAATATCATATCTGCGCCGCCGAGCATTTTTAAAAAATTTTAAAAAACTGGCGCCGCCGCCGATCAGCCTATCGGCTTACACCTCTACATATACTTATCTTTTCTTTTTGTTTGTCCATAGTTCAGATTTACGTGTACAAATGTATATTTTATCTAATTAAATGGTAAATTTGCGAAAAAAAAGGACATCTTTTTTTGTGATTGTTATTGTATTTGCTATTTTTTACTCTTATAAATAAAGATGAACAAACTAGTTTAAAAGATCTAACCTTTTCAAATCACCTTGAAAGTTAAAACTTAAAATGCATTTCTGCACGACGTGGAGAAAATTTTTCTTACGTTGTACTTAGTTTGAACGCTTATATGCTATTCACAGAATCGTTTCTCGTTATTACCTTAACAAACAAGCTATTGTATGAATTCATGATTTTGCCGGATTTTTGCCAGTTTGCCGCCAAAAATGAACTGGCCGGATTCCGGCCGGACCGGACCGGACAAATTTTGAAGCTGGCCGGACCGGACCGGACGGTAAAAATCCATCCGGTTCCAACTCTGGTATGCCTGAACCAATTATAGCTATTGATCTTTCTCAAGTAAATGGATATCAAAAGCGAATCAGTGCTGGTCTTTTGTCCATGTTTCTGAATGGTAAACGTGTATTGATGACATTTCAATTGCGATATATTATTTTAGCCAATATTACAAGACCAGAAAAACCGAACATTCTTCGTGTATTTGATTTTTGTTCTGATCCAACACTCAAATATATGACAATTAGTGTTCCTGATTCATTCGAAAAAACTACTTTTGCCAAATTCTGCGCTCAAAATAACAATATCGCTGGTTCACATGAGATTCTACGTCCGGATGATGAGAATCGATTCGTTGTGATCAACTATTTTCTCAAATTCGGTTTGGCTCAATTTTCCGGTACACGAACACTGCATGCATTTAAACTCAATAAGGATTTCACCGATTTCGAATATGACCATAAATTTAATCCTAATTTTCAATTCAATGGTCCACCCAAAAAACAACGTCCAACATTTCATTCACTGCAAGCATATCCACATCATGTTCAATATTTGAAATTAAAGAAATAGAAACATTCATTACCAGACTGTATAATATGAACACGCAGACATGAACTATCTTTTAATATTGTTTAATAAGTACAATAACCACTACAGGGGAAATTTCAATTTTTTTTTCCTAATGTTTATTTATTTATTTATTTATTTTTATTAAAGGTCTATTAAAAAGATATCAAACATGTTTAGATCAAATTATATTCCCTAAAAAACGGCAAGCAGCTGAAGCAAATGAAGCTGCCCATAGTTTATTAAAAGATATTGATGTAGAAAAATCACCTGAAGAAGGATGTGGTGTGGATGAAGGAAAACCATCACATCCACACCCTCGGTTACTCGGACACTCACACCCACATCCTTCTCTCTTCAAATTTTCTCGCTTTTCAAATTGAGTCATATACCAATCGATAGAGTTTGGCTTGCTCTACAAAATTGCATATATGACATCTTCCTTCAATCTCAATACAGAATCGAAAAAGTCCAAATACTATGTTTTTTCAGCATATAAAATTTTCTGCATTTTTCAGTATTTTCGCTAAATGTCTGAGCCAGAAATCGATTACTAAAATAAATTTTATTTCACTTTGTAGCCCATTTAATTCTGCATCAAATCACATATTAGACATTATTTTAAAACGTTCAACAGCCGACACAGTGACACTTGAATATTGACCTCTGATATCATATATTACCTATTAAAAGTGTGACACCATACTCATATTTGTGAACTTTTTTCTTTACGGCATTTTTTCTTTCTAACTAAGTATTATTTCAATCGATAGAGCTCAAATTTTTCTACAAAAGTGCATCTATGACATTCCTCTCTAATCTCAATATAGAACCGAAAAAGTGCAAATACAATGTTTTTTCAGACTGCAAAATTTTCTTATTTCGCAAGATTTTGATCAAACTTCCATGGATGCGAGTTTGTTTACAGAGATGAAATGATTTGACTAAGTCATACGACATGTTTCGATCCTTGCTAGAGATCATCATCATCATGTATGTTTAGAATCATTATAACTATATTAATTGGTTATGAGCAATATGGAAATCCATAAAAATAACCAACATGAAAATAAATACTAATTTTCTTTTCTGAAAGAAAGGGTTATATGGCAGAAAGAAGGTGAGTGTCGGTGTGAATGTGGGTGTTGTTGACTAAAATGACAGTTTGCCATCACCACTTTTTCTTCGGTCTTTAATAGATGATGTGGTTGAGGGTAGTCCTCTAGTTTTCGAATAGATTTTATGACACTTATCGTCGCACAACATAAAATATTGATATGATTTTCGACATATCGAGATGAGATAAACATGAGAAGAATAAGTTATGTGCACATTCCCAAAGAGAACTATCGACCATCTTTCAAATTTCGAACGTTTAAATAAAAACTCGAATAAGGACAATGATCGATGTTGCGAAGCGAAAACTTTGCATATATTGAACGCTGAAATGAGTTGATTCTGTAATTCATGAAAGTTGGAACATCTAAATAGACTGCAACAACAAGAGAAGATTGAGTTCGATAGAAATTTCACAAACTAGTCGAAATTGGAACGAGAACGAAAACTCCACTCAATATCTCAAATTTGTAGATGTAGATCTACTAAGTTTTGAATTCCGATGCACAATACAATATTAGTCTTCATTCAAATTGTGATTTCTCTGATCGAAGTGTACTAAATACGAGTCAAAATAGCTCAAAGTCCAATCTCGAGAGTAATGTCCTTGGAACTTTTTTGCGTGACCAGTGTTTTTTTTTCAGTATGGTAAGTATACGCTTTTGTAGCTTCTAAAGATTGTTATCGAAACATATGAAAACTAGTCTGATCTGCCATCAGATTGGTTGACGTTGCTACGTGACTTCAGTGTACGATACTGACAAAATACATAGAGCGGTACGATGTGCTTCCAACGAAGTCATACTTTCCAATAATTTTTTCTTCGATATTTTTATACCATTTCGTAGCGCTGCAAAACTTCTATCTAACCATGTGAAAACTAGACTAATCGGATATTGCTTTTGCGCATGAAAAGACGTGGTTGTAATCAATGGTGGGGTTTTATACATTGACTATTTCAGTCGGTGTGTGCACAGCACAAGCCAGAGATATAATCATTTCTGAACATCCTGTGTGGCAGTTTGACGTAGAAGAAATCAATTTCATCATTCATCGACTTCCATCGTTATCATTCTCAAACTTGTCTTTTCCAGCTTACATAGAAAAATAAACAACTTTTTGAACGCGTTTAGTCGGATGGCACAAAAAAAAGTTGATGATCAAACGTTTTTGTCGTACATTTTATGGACATGTAACGTTTTTTTCTTTATGGTTAGCTCAAGGCATCAGTGTTAGTAAAGCTGTAATATACATGGAAGTCTGTGTTTGTCATTTCATTTTTATGATACTGTTTCGTTTGCATTATATTCAGGAAACAACAGACAATTTTGTAATTATTTCTTGTCATAATCATACATGCAATATATTCATACTCCTATTTTTATTTGTAAGAAAAAAGGATTTGAAACACTCTTCATTCTCGGAAATGATGTCAAACACAATTCAAATATCTAAAGCAGCCATCGTCATCAATATAGTCTCGCTGACTGGTACCGTGTTCATGTGCATCGTGTGCATGGTCATGCTTGGTCTACTTGTACGACAAATAGCACGCACTTACGATATGGTCCTCTTTCTGGCTATCAATACTTACCTGGCACTGTTTGGATTTTCACTAGTGTTCTTAGCGATCAATGTGGATGTGTTGAGAGGCGATTACAAGTTGTTCATCGGCGAGGAAACATTGGGCTGTCGTTTTAGGAGCTACATGATGGGTGTTCTACTATCTGCCGTATACAACACTTTTGCGTTACAGGTAAAATCTTCAAGGAACAGATGCATTCTTTGAGAGTTCTTACTAGATAGGATAGTGCCCATCAATATGTTGATTTGCATACTGTTTTCTGAAAGAAAGATCGGATCCTACTGTATTTTCAGATAAATATTCTTCTATAAATAATAATCTTTGATTTTTTATACAATCATACCTTTAGCCACAAATATTGATCAAAACAGATTATTTCTCTTACTTTCTATTCATAAAAAACATTCTTTCATATAGCAAAAGATCGAGAATTTCAAGCTTTACAAAGTTATGTACTTTAATTTTAAAAAACAACTTTCTCCTATTGTTCAACAATCAATACAGTGACTTACACTTCATATTCCTACTGTGACACTGGAAGACGAAAAGAAAACGCATGACATCAATAGATTTCCAAATCAAGGAAAATTAACAATGGCATCCTCAATCTTTTCGACTATATTTCAAAATTTGGAATGAAAGCTAAAGGTGAGAACTTAGAGAACAAAAAAAAATCGAAGTTTCATATTCATATTTTGACATGATCTGTTGCTGATGTATTTTATCGAAAATGATGTCGCTTTTCGATTGACCAGTGACATAGTTTTGTGCAGAAAGAAAATTCTGCATCTTTTTGATGCAAGAAATAGAAATATTGCGACTGAACACTAGCTCAAGAAACTTCAGTTGTCTCAAATCCCGTCAACATCACCACGAAGAATATTTCTACGAGATTCTAAGTCCCTGAAATAGGTTTGGATATTAGAATATAGATCAGATAGATAGAAAACACAATTCTCTGTTTTCTAATTTAAATTGTCTGCTTTTGGATTCACTTTCAGGGCACAGCATGCTTTTGAAAAGTACGAGCTATGATGAGTCGCAGTACAAGTGTGCATAATATATAGATGGTTGGAAATTTTTTGTCAAATGTTGAAAATTCAGTTAATAGTCGTAACTTCAGAAGGACAGTGTAAGGGAATGAATCGATTTGTGTTTCTACTGATTTATTATGTCCGATATATGCACACAGAACGAAATCTTCTTCATATTCATTCTTCCAATGAAAACAACTACGAATTTTACTCGACTAGTAATATGATGTTATGGTTTGTTAAGAATATAAACATGAATGTTTTGTGGATTACTGATTGTATACACCCTTTTCAAGCGACAGAGAACAAGTTATTTTGATAGCTGGTGTCTTGTGTCTCTATTACACGATTTTTTAGACGAACGCGATTTTTGGATACATTAGTACAACAAAGCTGTCCGAAACCCTTATATCTTTATGAAATATATTTTCAATTTCTCAATATGACTGCATTTTTCTTTGTCTCGGTATGTAAAATTTCCTTCGAGAAAGCAATGAAAGGGAAGTTATGTTTCACAATCGAAAATACTTGAGATTATCCATTCAAACATTTCTCCTATTTCCAATAGCTCGATTGATGTAAAGAACATATTTTCAA